TTAGAGAAACCTCTTGAAACCAACGCTTTTGCTGCTGAAAGTGAAAAGAGTGAATGAAAAAATGTTCTTCCAAGCAGCCCATTGTGGCAATAATTTCTCTTGAAGAAACACCTAGTTAGATTCTGTTGTGTTATTGTTGAATAGGAGAGATAATACTAAACTAAATGATATATGAATCGTAAAAGCGCTGCTGAGATGCCCTAAGCCTTCCTCACTCACGCATTTTACTATGGTAGTGATCATGTGATGATTATGCCTGTTTTCAAGCAGTTTTAGCCGATTACATTCATTTGGAAGCCATTTGGGTGGAAACTCAAAAACTTTGGTTCAGTAACAGAAACATGTTTAGCAAAACACACGGGAATGAAGTGTCATAACTTTTTTAAAATCGTTTTGGTTTGTTACATTAAATAGATGTGAATCCTATCTGTGTTATTTTGCCATTATAACTTACCACTCCATTGCTTTTTTCAGTTCATCAACAATCAATGATATTATTGAACAAATCTTAATTAAAAACTGATGACTGTTATAATAGAGTGTTATATTAGTGACAGTTTCCTGAAGAAACCAAAAAATAGATATTGATCTACACTAAACCTGAAAAATTTTAAAAATAACTTGTCGAAGCACCTCCAGCTATATATATATATAGAACAAGTGTACAGTCTGTCTCTAGTTACTGTTTGACAATGCTCGTATAAATAGAGCGAAATATCACAAAAAAGAAAAAAGAAAATTTTCATTGCTTATTCAGATAAACAATGAAATTACAAATAGCTGCATCAATCATTACATTGATTCAGAAGAAACTCTTTTCTCCTCTCTACTCCTACAATAGTACATATATAGATAGTTGAAAATTTGTAGTTATCAAAAATATTGCCTTTTATATGTGCTACAACTGTGTTGTGCAACCTTATGGCCAAGAAAGCAAGAGGTAATGGATTATCATTATCTCTTCAGGAAGGGTAGTGAATTTTACATTTCTTCTAAAGTAATGGTGTAGATCTACTGTTTTGTTTTATAGTAGTGGATTCATCAATAAAAAGTGCCTCTCGAAAGCGTTTCATTGATCGTTGTTTTTGTAAGTGTTTGATCGCTTTCATCTTCACTGTCGGGATTTTTGCATTTATGGCCGAAGTGTCGACGAAGCACTACAGTCATTTTGAAAATTTTTTCGTAAACATAAATTCATCAACTCATGGTTCGTTTCATGGATTGTTATTTGGAATTGATAATGTGGCGTCGATCTCTGTATTGTATCACCGTTTATTACAACATAGTACGCTTAGAGGTTACCCTGCTTTTCGTCAATCTCTGGAAGCTGAGTTAAAGTGGTTTGAGGGCTTTGTCACCTCTTCGCAGTTGCTTAACAGAAGCGGAAGTGATCTGGAGATACGAAGATTTTTGCCTCAACATCAATACTTGAAAGTCACTGAGTACGATCGTGGGCATGGCTTAAATAACATTCGCACCATGTATGCGTTGGCTTTAATGTATGGACGTGCCACACATCGCATCGTGGTTTTACCCGATGTCATTATGGCATTCTGCCATTTGCTACCCACACTGAATCGAGAAATGCAACCACTCGAACTCACTTTCATCAATATTACCGAACTGTTTGATATCGACGCTATGAATGCTGTCGACCCAAGTCACTACCGTGTAAAACTGCAGTCTCAGCTACCCGAGTTGATGAGGAATGCTTCTTTTGGTCATCTTGCCTGGGATACAGTCAACATATTTGGCACCTCCTTCCGGCCATGGAAAACGTGGACTGACACACGTACTATTAATTTTATTGCAAAGTATCCTGGTGTATTACTAACGACTCCGTATTTTTTTTGTGACGCCTACGATAAAAAAACCGAAAGTTATCGGCTAGAAGCGAACAGTGTGTTTCGCTGGTCACCATGGCTTAACCGCACCATCACTAACATATATCGCTCCATTCGTCAAACATATCATCACCAAAAAATCGTATCGATTCATATGCGATTCGAGCCGATCTATGGGGTCATCGCACGAGCATATATCGATCGATTGACTGCTATCGCTGATTATTTACGTGCACACGGCTATGATCATCGCAAGTGTATATTATTCTTAGCAGGAGGCAATATTAATGAGCAGATGATCACCGTCCTGCGTTCGCATCATCACTATACCATCGTTCGCAAAGAACAGTTCCTTCCAAGAGATTGGGAACCTCCTTTATGGTCAAAATATTTAAGTATGAAAGCCTCAGCAATTGATTTTGAGCTATGTGTGCTAAGTGATCTATTCGTAGGCACCAGCGAATCATCATTTTCGATGTTAGTCGCTGCTCAACGAAAAATGTCACATAAAATTCAACTCAGTTATGATTATGCCAATAGATCCGAAATGTGCCTTCACAACAAACCTTGCTTCTATTATTGTTAATCACAAGCGATTCTACTCAGGACAGTAAAAAATTATAATAACGGGTATAAAAGCGATTACTTCTACGTTCTAGCTATATTTTGATCGCCTTTTATTTCCTAAGCCCAATCTTTTTTAAAAAGATTTGGCGTAAATGCTGCTAGAAAATCGGATAACTTTTATTAATGGATTAATATTTTGGTTAATATATATTGGTATCAAAAACGAATGGTTTTACATTTGAAGTAAAAGACATACAACATATAAACTTAAAAGTGGCCATCAGGAAACTGAAAAATCTTCATGACGTGGACATGTTCTATGAATGTTCGGGGCGTTTTTTTAAATGCCATTTATTACCCCAATAGAGTTTAAAACGTTGAACGGTTGACGCTGGAACAACTGTTTTAGGGAGAGTATAGTTATTATATATTAAAACATATACTTGAATAGTTTTCTGTCACTTTATTTGTCATGAATTGATAATTGCGTGTCATTTGATAATCCAGCAAAAACAGATTTTGGTATGTCTGCCTCGCATAGCATGTTGTGGAAAGTTTATTCTGAAAAAATATGAAATGTCAGAGCTTGGTGAAAATCGGTCTGTAAAATGTCCTATACTTAGTGCAAACTACTCTTTCGGTCTGAAAATGCTTTTATATAAGTAACTCGG